AAGGGGGTTGTTTCTTTCGGATTTCTCCCATTTATAATAACTGTTGTCTGTTGCTGTTGCCGTTGACCAGGAATCTTCATCACCTACTTCTATTTTCTCTATGTTCACTTGAAGGCCTATCTTTGATGCTTTTTCTGCCAGCTTGTTGCTTTCCAATTGCGTATCTTTCATTTTGCATGAAATCAGACATGTATCATCGGCGAAGTCCAGATCCTCCAAGTTTTTTGTATGGGTCTATTTTATGTCTGTCTTTTCGTTGCCTGCTGTCTGTTGCATTATCCAGTCTACTGCAATCAGGAAAATAACTTGAGACAATAGGCAGCCAACTTGTCCTACTCCCGTTTTCACTTCGAAGGAGTTCGTGAGATTCACGTTGTAGATTACTTGGCATGCAGCATTATCGTACAACTGCTGGACGAGATATATGATTGCTGGTGGCACCCCGTAGAAGCGAAGTAGTTTCCAAATCACCTCTCGATCCATGTTGTCGAAGGCCTTACCAAAGTCGATGAAGTTGAAGTAGAGAGCTGACTGCCATTCCAAGCTCTGTTCAATAATGATAGGATGCATGACTCGTTCCTCCTGAATCCAGCCTGTTCCGATCGAAGTTTTTCATCTAGGGCGTGTTTGATTCTCTCCAGGATGATGCGGCTTAATATTTTGCTTGGGATAGGCAGGGGCATAATGCCACGCCAGTTCTTGCATTCACTTAAGTCTCCTTTCTTTAACAGTTTGAATATATAGCTTTTCTTCCAATCAGCAGGTACCTTGCCCTCTTTCCATACCTTCTTCACTAGTGGTGTCATCAAGTCCACTGATGTCTCTGGGTCCATTTCCAATGCTTCTGCAGGGATTCAATCTGGTCCTGCTACTTTTACAGTTTTTAGCATTTCTGGTGGCCTTCAGGATTTCTCCTTTCGTCAGAGGATTGCTGCCCACTGGTAGTTCTGCTTCCGCTGTTTGTATTATTGGGTGGGTGATTAAGAAGTCTTTTGAGGTGTTCAGTCCAGTTTTTCCTTTGCTACACCTCTTTGGTGATTGAATATGTATATATATATATATAATTGTGGCGGTTCGCTTAAAACCTGGGCTACCAACAACCTCCAGCATTACACAATACACATAATTTCTATTGTTCACCTTGTATCAATACATTAAAATATAACCTCTAATGGTACTGTTGACTCCCGCAAGTATTTAAAATCCTTACAACTTGCTGATTAGCAAGTGTTTATTAAAATTGAGAATCCCGGTGGGTGCGTACTGATGAAGAGTCCCAAACTAGGACGAAACAGCTGTGCAGTACTCCCAGGTTTTCCAATGGTTCTCTAACTAATATCAGTTCATGATGAAAATCCCGTAACTATTCCTGAAATCTCTAGTACAAATTACCACGGCCAGTAGAAATAAAACTCATCACCTGCAGTCTTTAATTATTCAGTTATGTCTTTTAAGTCTTCAGATGTGCTCTTGCACTATTTCCTTTTTTTAAAAATTGGCTTTCAACCATCAAACGTCGTGGATCTCTTGAAGGAGATTTGAGATTTGGTTTGTGTTTCAGGTTAAACAGCAGCATTATGTCACGTGATCTAATCTCATTTACCTTTTTTGTTTTGCTTGAATATCCTGGACAATGAGGAAATATTACGCAATCAATACCGCTAAAAATTCTGTACATTACATGAACACTGTAAAGAATAAAGCTATCATTTGCAAAAGTTTGGTTTGTAAGGATTATACTTGTTTTTACGAGCCTGACCACTGATTGATATCAGTTAGAGAGAGAACCATTGAAAACCAGCACTGGAGTACTGGACAGTCAGTTGTTTCATCAGACTAGTTTAAGAATCATCCCCAGTACGCACTCACTGCCAGAGTTCGAAACCAGCATCTTCCAGTTACAAGGCTAGCGAGCTCATATACCATTCAGCCACTGGGACACACCCGACTCCTCAATGGCAAGTCCATGAATTCTAACTTCTACCAATTCGCGCTGCATTTAGCGCGACCACCAACCAATATCATCGATTGAAACTCTATCCACACTCCTGACTGGATGGACTTCACTGGTCACAACTTCTCACTAGAACTCCAGGAAACTCTGTCCTGTAGCGAGTCACTATCGAGTATCAGATTAATTTTCCAGAGTTTGGTTAGTAAGGATTAGATTTGTTTTTAAGAGTTTGACCACGGATCGATATCGGTCGGTCGGTTTTCGACATAGAACTTTGCACATATGTGCGGCAGTTCAAGTCGCCACACTCCCTCCTTGTAGCACACAAAGCAAGAGAAGGAAGTAGGAGAAATGAATATAAGAGACAGTAGATAGGGATATGAGGCAAAAGGAATAGTAATAACGAAGAACAAAACAGTTTCATTGGAAATCATGAGTCACCAGGAGTGGATGCATCTGCGCCAGCTGTTGAGAACGAGGATTTTGAGCCATATCACCAATTGTTTCCAGCTTGCATTGATTTTTACCGTCCCGAGGACCTCAACTAGTCAGGAAGTCTACACCTTCCTACGTGGCCTAAACTAACCGTTGTGGATTTCATTGACTGGTGCCATGTTTTCGTTTACTTACTTACTTTACTTCGGCTATCTCCTACGGGAGGATGAGCCGGCTTCATGAACATCTCGAATCATCGCTGCTCAGGTGCGGTGATCTGATTTGTAAGAGAGTTCATGAAGTCTCATGGGAATTTGGTACGAGTGATGTCCCCAGAATCGCTCGGCCTTTTGTTTGACAGTGCAGCTCTAGCCTTAACACAACCAAGTGTGAACTACAAGGCAGTAGGAGTAGAGTAGGGAGTCCACTATCCATTGGCCGCCGGTGACCGGAGTTCGGTACATACGCCTTTTTGAATGGGGCCAGACATCCAGGACATCCAACAAGCCCTTTGTCCATACGTCTGGCGGTGAGCTCCAGTGGGCTTCATACGCCAGTCGTTGGAGGTTTGGAATCAGGGTTTAGCCATCTCCCCTAGACTGTCATCCAATGGACGGTCAACCCGGTGAAGAGCGCCGGACATCCGCTTTCGCCCCCTCACTTTGGTGAAAAACATCTCCGCCACGTGAAGGCAGTGAGTAGGACTTCCTCAGGAGAGGCTATGTAAGACGCCCGGTCATATGGGAGCATTTCAAGAGGTGTGCGGAGGGGTGGCCAACCCGCAACGCAAGGCACCCACCCCCGACCATCCTGAGGCTTTGGAGGCAGCCGCTAGCTCTTTTCCAGCCTGACCCTATGTCAGCTAACATTGCCCGTTGTCGAGGAAGGCGATGACTAGACATACGGATCGGTATCAGTTAGAGAGAGAGAACCATTGAAAACCAGCACTGGAGTACTGGACAGTCAGTTGTTTCATCCTAGTTTGGACCCGATATTAATAATAATCGGGTCCCAGTGACTGAATGGTATACGAGCTAGCTTGTCTTGTAACCGGAAGGTTCTGGGTTCGAACTCTGGTGGTGAGTGCTTACTGGGGATGATTCCCAAACTAGGCTGATGAAACAGCTGGCTGTCCAGTACTCCAGTGCTGGTTTTCAATGCTTCTCTCTCTAACTGATATCAATCGGTGTTCAAACTCGTAAAAACAAATCTAATCCTTACAAACCAATCATAGAATATTATTATTATTCTTAAACAAATAGTTCATTAGCAGGCACACACGCATACAATTGTCTAATCGGAATTCCTCATTGTAACTAACAAACAATCGCTGAATAAACAATCATAAATAAAATCAATATGCGTATAAAGCGTCTGTTCACTTTTCAATTGACCTAATAAAATTATACTTTATTTAAACAAGGCTTGTCTGTTCAATGTTCACTATGACCCAAGTGAATATATATATATATATATATAGAACACGATGAAGAATATTTAGTCGTAAAGAGCATTTTCTTAAAAAAGTGCAAACAAATAGTATTAATGTTATGTGGCTTTCATAGCTGTAGTGTTGAAAAGGTTGTCCAACGTGACAGAGATACGTTCGCGCATATGGGAAGATTCTGTGGCTCTGTAGTCGTGTGGTGAGAGCTGTCTGCTAGCCAAAATTGGCAGACAGCAGTTTACGTCAATGTTTACGTCCCAAATCTTGGTCATGAGAAAAAACAAGAACAAAGTCTAACCTTGAGGAACTAAACAACCAATCACAGCAGACCTAACGTGTGCAAATACGATTCGCAGATATATGGTCTGACCTTCAAAGAAACGGCCACAAAGAGATGACAGAATTACCTTCAGTGAGGAAACAACCAATCAGAAGACGCCGTTTCTCTGCTGGTAATAATAACGTGCGTCGGTGGCACAGTGGTTAGGACTCTCGCCGACCATGCACATGGTCCGGGGTTCGAACCCCTGCCGGCGCACACCCGATATCTATGGTATGCCTGAATTTGGGCAACCGATATCCATGCTGAAAGTTCCACACTTGTACTGAAAATACGGTGTGGAAATCAAGCTGTAAATCCAAAAAAAAAAAAAATATACATAAAAGTACATATAAATATCTCTTGATTTCCTCAATAAACGATCTGTTGCCTGGCCCTAGTCTTCTGTCGTTACAGTGGTGGTACTTCTTTTCTTAGAAGAATTTATACCCCACTCCGACTATTGCAGTCTAAGTGAAAAGGATAATATCTATCATATGCCCTATATAAATTCTGAGCAGTTACTAGAATGCGGTCAGTGAGTCAGACAGACAATTCTTCGAAGTAATCAATATTTATATATGAGTATCTGGACTTCCATGCTAACCATTGCAACATAGGGGTACAAACTTTTTTAAAGTTTCAATAGCTCTGATGCTGTTTTTCTTCTACGAAACAGGATCGCTAGTCTCACATCCTCGCCATAAACCTTCCCTTCCCTCTACTCCAGGCTTACTACCATGTCTAGGTATAGTTTTAGAGTATGTCGGACAAGAATTGTCGCCAAAGTACATACGTGGAGCTGCCAAGTATTCAAAACCAAAGCAAAAGGGATGAGAACTTACTCCTGAGGTAATAATTACACTAGTAAATCTTGACATTACTGGTCGTACAGGCAGACTAGCATCCAAACAATGAAAATATAACACTGGATTAATAATCGTTGGTGTACGTTCATCGAATGGTTCAATAATGATACAAAATCCTTTGGAATGAAGAAAACAAAGTATTTTTAAAAAAAGTCGGCAAAAAATACATACTCAATCAAATTTTAAAAAAAACAACTTATGTAATTGAATTTTAGATTTTCCCGTCGATTGATTGGACCGAAGTGCTCGGTTTCAGGTTGACATGTCTGTTGGCTTCTTGTGCAGATGCTTCGACAATGCCTGGGCATGTAATCAGAAGTTAATTGGTGGGTGATGACTAGCAGTGGAATCCAGGATAACGCGCATTTCGTCCTATTTGGGACTCGTCTTCCAGCTGGATGTACCTGCATTCCCCAGTGAGTGATGATGTTCTCACCGAGGCACGAACCCAGTGCCAATAGTTCCCAACGCCAAAGCGTTATCGAGCCTCGTTGGGAACATCATCACTCACTGGGGAATGCAGGAACATCCAGCTGGGAGACGAGTCCCTAATAGGACGAAATGCGTGTTATCCTGGATTCCACTGCTAGTCATCACCCATCAATTAACTTCTATTATAGAATATGATTTTAAAAATACAGGATAGAATTCAATTTGCACCAATACCAAAGATCAGACCCAGTGACTAATCAAATTATCCATTACAGTCCTCTATAGGAGGACGTATACGAACCTGAAAGGAACATCTTTGAATACAGCACTGACAAACACGAGTTCAAATATCAGGAGGGCATGAGTTTCTTTAAGATTCGTAAATAAGAATTGACTAGGCAGGTCTTCTTGTCGATTACCTCCAACCATCATCCAACACTAAATTCCAAGAGCTTGGCGCATATATATGGTGTACGAATGGAAATATATCGTGCTGTACACCACTTCGTCTCCTGACTGCTTTCTACTATCCTCTTCTTGCTCCATTAATAACCATGTTGTATTCTTTGGAATTTAGATATGATGGAGAAGATTTGTAGCTCAGGTGGATGATTTTGATGTAGTTGTGTTCTCTGAGCTACACTGGATGGTTTATTTGAGAAGCTTTCACTGCCCCCGACTCCCTAGGCAACATCTTCAGCACATACTCCAGTTTCAAGAGAGCTTTTCGATTTCTCCACGAGTTTATAAGTCATCTCTCCTGGTGACCACCTTGAACGTCGTGATTGGTTGTTTTTTGTGTGTTTTCACATCTTCTAGGCTACTTGTATTGGTATTGGTGCTGATTGTTTCCTTGACCCGAGTGAGGTTTGACCCTTTGTGTGTGAGATTTACTTCTTATCGATTGGTAAATTTTGTCTATATCGATGTGTCTATTGATTGACGACTCACTGGAATACCAGGCTTCTAAAAATTCTCTAGTATTCTTGGTGTTTCTTCTGTCTAATATCTGAACGCTGGTTGTCCCAGTCGAATTAATGTCTGTGGTTGTCAGTATGCAACGATATGAGGTAGGGAGTGTATGTCATGTCCTTTGACGACTAGTTAGTTTGTCATCATGGATACGAAGACAAAGAGGACGTCCACTTTGACCAATGTAGCGTTTTTCTCAGTCGTTGCAATTTATTTTGTAGATGATGTTGGTTTTATCTTCTTTCGTTGTTGAGTCTTTTGGTTGGCATAGAGCTGACACTCTATGGAGAGATGACTAATAAACTCGTCGAGAAATCTAAAAACTCACTTCAAGTTGAAGTAGTATGCGCTGAAGATGTTGCCTAGTAGGACAATGAAAGCTTCGCAAATAAACCATCCAGCTAGCTCAGAGAACACAACTACATCAAAATCTTTGGAATTCGCAGGAACATCTCATCCTCATCGCGCGAGGACTATTCTACAACCAGTGAAAAATCTTCTACCAGTGGACAGGACCCTCAGAAATGAAACGAATCTGTAGATTATATTAATAATTTGTAGTAGCAAGGGACTGTAATCGTAATTTTAAGTAACCATTAATTTTTATAACTCGTTATCTGTATTTCTATAGTAATACTGACTCAACATATTTTCATTAACTTGGATTTTAATTCTGATATTTCGTAACGTTACCAAGCTGACATTGTTAAGTCCCCTACAAATTAATTTCTGATCCCGATTGAGTATTTATAGTGTTATAGAGTACATATTTACATTATCTTTTTTTCTAATTTGACTGCACATTTTTGCATATATCCGTCTATCTGTACATGCCACAAAACATTAATTATGTCATCACCGACTAGTTCACTTGCTGCGTCGGAAACTAATGCTGACGAGATACACGACTCAAGAGTAAACGCGATTGTCAATCTGCGTCTACCAGCATTTGGTTTTACTGGGCTTCGAATTTGGTTCACCATCATTGAAGCCTTATTTGCTGTAAGAGGTAAGAAGTAACCTCAGATTGCTAAATATGGAAGCATTTTAACTGCATTGCTTACAGAGGTACCTAATCGATGGTGCTTCTGTAGACCACCAATACGATCGACTCAAAGCAGTTTTGATCCAAAGAAGGATTACCTTCGACGAGAAAAGGATCCAGCAATTACTAACAGAATGTAATTTAGGTTCAAGAACACTGTCAGAGTTCTCATTGGACATTAGTAACTAGTGTGACGTGTCTAGTCCTTTCTTTGGTGCAGACTGAATTCTATCAGTCAGGTTTGCATCTAGTAGCTCACCACCAATGTGAACCGTGATGGCGATCTACCTAGAGTGGCGGCATATTGCAACCTGACTGATATAATTCAGCTGCACAAAAGACTAACACGTCACACTAGCTACTAGTGTCCAATGAAAATACCCACTGCAGTCCTACATGAGGTCAATCGATAGCCCAAAAAGCTCAGTGGTAACGTCTCTGACTGTAGCACTGGGTGACGCGGGTTCGAATCTCAGAAGGGACATGAATTCCTTCAAGGTTGCAGATACGCCTTGCTGATGAGTGCCAACTAGCACGAAACCTAGGTCCAAGGCTTCCTGCCGATTGCTTCCAACCATCTAATGTTGTCAGAGTTCCTCAGGCATATGCGTCAACTGGTTAGTTTATTTAAAGTCGACGAAATGGTTTTACGACAAATGTGTGTTTGCGACGGCTACCACGAAATATCCAACAAATTTTAACTATCTCCTATGAATCTGTCGATCTAGATGAATTAGGTGAGATTGCAGATGACATACTAGACGTATTTTCTGACGCCAGTGTCTACAACGTATCTACACGTAATGAATTACCAGTTCAGGCCATGTCCACCGCGGATACACCTGTACTATCAGCTATTTCTGCATTAACAAACAAGATGAAAAAGTTAGAAGCTGATATGTTCAGCCTAAAGGCACAACGTGGTTAACTACAATCCAGATCAAGGCAACGTCAACAGTCTTTCTCAAAACATCGAACCAGGACGCCTTCTAATACTCGAAATATTTGTTAATTAAACTCAGTCTGCATCAGCAACAATAACAAGATGCATAACACATTGGTCACTATTAGATGGTTGGAGGCAATCGGTAGGAAGTCCTACCTAGACCTAGGTTCGATGCTAGTTGGCATTCGTCAGTAAGCCGCGGATGACGCACGTTCGAATCTCTGAAGGGACATGAGTTCCTTCAAGGTTGCAGATACGCCGCCTTGCTGACTGACTGGTGACTGACAACTAGCACGAAACCTAGATATCAGCAGGGCTTCCTACCCATTGCCTATAACCACCTAATAAGACCAACAATTCACAGTGCACCGTAATGGCGAGCCACCTAGCATGGTCGCCACATTGCAAACATGACTGATAGAATTCAGTCTCCACCGAAGATAGGACAAGACACATTACACTAGTTACTGACTAGTGTCCAATCAAAAACTCATACTACAAGAAACAATGTACGCTGAGTGAAAACAGAAGAAAGAAAACCTCTTAAGAACGATACCACCAACAAAAGATACGACACAAATTCACATGCAATATCCATAATTGTGTTCCTTTCTACATATAGTGAGTAACTGTGACCTTTTAAGAGCAATACAAATGAGAGAATCGGGATAGATGTATGTGTTTAGTTTCCTACTAATGTAACATATCAAACGTGAAAATGTCTAGTCCGTTTATAATGCTACACTACCACCCCCCACCCCCTGAGGTTACCCTTGATTCCCTTGTGTTAATTGTCGTCTTCATAGAGCAACTAGGTCAGGTTCCGACTGAAACATCTAGGTTAATAATCGTGGATCTTAATATCCATAGGGTTGAAACCCTACTCAAAATCGAATTCAGTGAGAATGAACTGGAATGTATATTCATAGATTATACTTAACATGAGAAAAGGAAACAGGCGGCTAAAAAAATTGGCCCAAATCATACCCTTTATGACAGGTAATTACAAATTTCAAAATTTAATAGATATGAATTGAACTACTCATATCAGCTTATTAGTAGTAAAAGTGGAAAAGTGAAATTTCAATGCAACTCCTCTAGAACCTTGAAATCGTTCAGATAACAACGTCACTATAAGCGTCCATTGTGAAAGCAAGCATAAATGCATGATGCTATATTACGACTGATTGGTTAACATAAACAGCTGGATGTTCGCCAACCACGCATGTACTCTGCAGTTCAATTCCCCGTCGATGCACAACTATACCGATTAGCCGGTGGTAAGCCGTGTGAAGAGGGAAGATTGGACGTGAAGCTAGCAACCTCAACCGGTGAATATAAACACCACTACTACTGGAACTTAGAACCTCGTAGCTTGAAGTCCTACCTCCCACCCGGATCGCTAAGGAATAAAATAATAATAGTAGTAGTTGTTGCCAACCAGCTATACTGAAATGATCTGAAGATACCGAGCAGTCATTTCACTCGTTCGAGGAAGAGCTCGTCAGCCACCTTCCCGGTTTGACTCTGTTCAGATAGCGGAATCACTTTTCCAACCGCCTAAAATTCCAAAATCCCGAATTAAGACACAAATTGATAATTTGATTCATTGTATCAGCAGCCTCTCCCAAGAGACCATCAGGAATTCTATTGGCTCGAGTCTATTCGGCATTCTATAGTGAGTTGTTGAATAGGGTACACCACTGAAGAGCTCCACATCGGACGAGCAAAACAACAGTCCGGTGTTTAGAAGACTTCAATCTGGCTGGGAAGCAACCACTACTGGTTAATGTGAGTAGTGGGAAACTACTTATTTCATTCAAACAGTAGTATATAGCACCAAAAATATCAACTGTTGCAGTTAAATGCAGTTAAACATGACACCAATGCATAAATTTCTAAAAAATGCCACAAGCTACTAACAAATAGGTAGTAGCATAAATACAAAAAGCAAAAGAAAACAGCGAAAAAAAATTAAATTACCTCGAGTATATGTTGAAACAAGTGTAGCAAAATTACACAATAAAGTTAGACTAGAGAAATTAGCATAATCTGCTAACTCCAGTGTGTGCAGCAGAGAGCGTAATCTTTCAGAACAATATCTAAGTAGATGTAAAAAACAAAATGATCAATCATCTATTATTTTTGGGGGAATTGTAAAATAAAAAAGTGGAGAAGTTAAATTGGCTAAGGTAACTAACTACTGATCCTACCTTTATTTGAACACAAATGAGTCATGTGAAACAATAGATTCCGATGGTGTGGCACATATCTCCCTCTCATCCCTTTGTGGTTCAAGTATAGGACATAGGGCTTCAAGGTTTAAGCTTTGTAGTTTTATTAGCGCTTCTGGGTCTACACGCAGTTAGGTTGCTAGCTTAACACACCTAACCTCTCTTTGCCGAGCTTTCCTATCGGTTAGGCAAAGTTTCGGATTGCGCTGGACGAGAATTGAATCCCGTAATCCGTGTGTCGTTGACAAACATTCCACCCCTGAACCAACGATGAGGCACGCAAGCGGCAACATGCATTTAGGAATGCAAATGTTGTTTTGCAGGGATTTAATTGACCTTAAGTTAGATCGGTAGTATAGCGGTTAGGACGCTCACCGACCATGTACATGGTCCGGGGTTCGATCCCCGGCCACCGACGCACTCCTTTACCTCGCTGAGCCAGAAATAATGCTGGTAAAGAGGAAAGGTTGGGCATGAGGCTAGCAACCCCATCCTGTAAAATAAACACTGCTACAGAAACTTCAAGCCACTAGCTTGAAGCGCAAGGAGATTCATCGTGCTGACTAGACAAGCCCTCGAGTGGAACCCGACTGAATGGGAAGCGGCGAGTTGGTCGCCAGTGCAAGGGTGACTTGGAGGAGGTCATGTGAAGAGGAGATGAAAACGTGTGGGCAGACTTGGAGCCAGGTGAAAACTCTAGCGGAGAGCCGAACGCAATGGAGACGCACGGCTGAAGCCCTATGTTCCTCTAGGAATTAAAGGAAATAATAATAATAACTAGCTTGAAGCCCTATGTTCCACTGGGGAACGCGAAGGAAAAAAAAGTTAGATCACAAACTATCTTTAGTTAGTGGACCATTGAAATCCACATGGTAATAGACAGCTGTTCTATTTTACTTTTTGGAAGAATCTTGAGCAATTTCCATCCCTGTGGGAATCGAAACCAGGGCGTTCAAATCAAAGTCTCTCGCCTGGCAACCTGAAGGTCCTAGGTTCAATTCTTGAAAGGGTCATATTGTGGTGAGAGATAGTTGCTGGCCAAATTGGTTGACAGTAATTGAGGTCAATGTTAATCATGTGAAAACAAGGTCAAGATGGACAGGCGGATACAGTTAACATATAGATGATCTGACACAGCCACATAGAGATGCAAGGTTAACTTTCTGTGAGAAACAACTAATCAACAGACTGTATTTTCGACTAACATAAACCTACAATAATGTACATCAAAATCTATAAATATGTGTTGATTTTCCGTAATAAACGATCTGTTGCCTGGCCCTTGTCTTCTGTTGTTACAATACAAGTGCGAACTGATGCACTTTTTCATGTGGTTGCATATTCCCATTTGTCTGATATCCTATACACCTGGATCAGATCTTCCATGTACCAAGAACTCAATACATTGTAACCTAATTTACTAGTCACTCTGTATCTAACGCATATTTCGTCTTTATTACGTAACTCTTTTACCATTGTATGCATACATTTATTTTGTTTAAACTTGAACTGCCTGTGTAAAAACTATATAAGCGCAATTTTCTGAGCATTGTTCACTTATTGTGGAACTTTTTGTCAAGTGACAACATGTAAAATTTGCAAGTATGTTAAAACTTTTCTGTACGCAAACCTCATAATTTATTCAGGCTGTAAGCAGCTGATGAGAAGCCAACGAAATAAATGGTGGTACCATATTATTCTGCACAAACCACTGTTGTTCTTGCTTTATTCAATCAGGAACCTATTCCTCAACAAATATGCCAAAGAGAAGACGTTCAGCGAAGAGACTCTTTTCGACGGCGAATTCATTCACATAGCTGTACAATCGCATTTATATACAATTATTTGTGTGTGTGTGTGTATATGTACATGAGGTTTGTCAAGTTTAGATAATTGACCAGGTAATACAAGAATGATCTAATATAGAAACAAGGTTAATTAGACAGCAACTAAAGTAAGATTGAGTTAGTTAGTAAGTTAGATGACGCAATATAATTGACTAAAATGTTTCAACTTAGGTCAGGGCAGCAACAGAGGTAATAACAGGAAGAGACTAAGTAGAAGTGGGGTAGAGAATAATGCCATTTAAATTAGAACTGAAATTGAGCAAATAAGTTGGATGACGTAACATAAATGACTAGAAATTGAGCGTTGGTCAAGTCAGTAACAGTGGTAGTGAGGTGAAGAAATTAAATCGGATGGGGGTAGAGAACAAGAAAGTTGAAAATGTAAAATATTACAACTGAGAAGACAAAATAATACTAATGAAGAGACAGAAAAAAAAGAGATTAGGTAGAATTTGCTTGTCGGGTAATAAGATAGATTACGTCCATTGCAAGTGTAGTGATTGAACGAACTCCTTCTGTATGCAGAGTTCAGGACTTAGCAAGTGAATCGCCATTGCTTCTGCAGTTTGAAGAAGTCTGATTCGTACACCTTTAGGAAGACTACTTCTTACTCTGTAGACGACTTTGAAGTTTGTTTGGGGTGTAGCTTGGTGTCCGGAATCTATCAGATGTTCTAAGATAGAGCTGCATGGGGGCATCGTTTTTCTCCTTTGTAAAACCATGTTGGTAAGTGTTCGGTGATACGTTTTGAAAGCGAACGCTGGGTACGGCCGACATACTTGGCTCCACACGAGCAGGTGAATTGGTAGATACACATTGATGAGGCCAGCAGTGGTAGCTTATCCTTCACGTTCACATGAATCATAGGTTTTGTGGAGAAGGTTAGTCGTAGTTCAGCTGCGAAGAAGGTCTTCTTAAGTGAGCGCGACAGTCGATTTTTTAGTGTTTCCGCAGATATATCTCCATTGAATTGAAGGTTCATGTAGAGTAGTTTTTTCTGGACGCTAAGCATGGGCGGCTTTTGTGGTCTAGGATTTTATAGATTTTGCAATAAATCGTTCTGGATAACAATTCTCGACGAGGATTCTCTTGAGATTGTCCAGTTCATCTTCTATGGTATCCGGGGTGCAGATTCTGCGAACTCTGTAGCTGAGTGAACGGATCAGGTTTCGTTTGGTGTATAGGGGTACCCAACTGTGAAAAGAAAGATGAATTGGATACACACTGAGAAGACCGCTGTATGATATGCCGTTGAAGCCCTATGATCCACTCAAAATCCCTCAACCCCCCCAACCCTAGTTGACCAGGCTATAGTAAATGAAGCCAGCCTCGAACCCAATACATAGACTGACTGCAAGACAAATTGATTAAGGCAATGAAAGCACATCTCTTCGCCACCTGACATAAATTATAAGCAAGAACAAAACATTTTATTCAACAGTAAAAATTTAAAAAAAAAGAATCACTTACTGGAGAGGTCGACGATCAATGCAAACTTTGTCTAAACAATCACGTAAAAATGCTATTGGAGTTTCATGCACTACATGTGCTATGCGAAGACGCAGTTTTACATATTCTAAAAATCGACGAAGAAACGACATGAAACTGTCTGCAGTCCGAAGGGATCCAGGCACTGATGCTTGAAGTATATCATCTGGTAGAACTATTTATTTTTTTTTTCAAAGTATGAAGAAAAAGGGGAATAAAGAATTTAGAGTAATTTTTTAGTAATTAACCAAAAACACAAATGAATTTTGTTCGAGTGAATTTCCCCATTGGTTGATTGATTTACGAAAGGGAGTGGTGGTAATGCTCCCTGACTACACTCTGTTTACGGACACATCAGCTCTTATTATGCATCATGCTTCAACAACGGGGCATCCTCAAGGTTAATATAAGGCCATGTGATCGATGGTGGCAAGCAGTGGTGGGAATACAAAATGCGCATCTTGTCTTATTTGAAACTTGTTAGCTGGATGTATTACCTGCATCCCCAGTGAGTAAAGGGTGGTGTCGCACTAAAGCTCGAATCCAGTACCCATCCAATAGGCCACTGCACCATGGCCAGGTATCAGCTGCGTAAGAACCACAACAAATAAGAATTAATACCCCGTTGCACAAGAGATGGCTTCCATGCCCCAGTGGACTAGTGCACAAGGTTTTGGCGTTTGAAGTACTGTGTACTGGGTTCGAATCACAGAGGAGTCGCCATCATTCATCTTGTATAGCTACCAAAGAAAGGGGAATTACGCCTCTTATTCTGCAAGAACTAGCTGGCGTGGAATAATGCCCTCGTCCAAGCCAAGAAAAATAATGAGTCGCATCATCCTGGAGAGAATAAAAGATTCACTGGATGCAGAACTCCGCCAGCTCGCTGGAACAAGCTGGATTCAGGAAAGGCAAATCAAATTTCAACTCAACTTGTCGTCACACCACAGAAGAAAGCATAGAATGGCAGTCAAACCTATCTCTACCTTAACTGCATTGACTTCGAAAAGGCCTTCGACAGACAGCATTGACCGAAAAGCAGTTTGGAAACTGCTTTAAAACACGACGGCGTGCAGTGCCTAAGTCTTTATCACCCTCATTCAACAGCTGGCTATATACATGACAATGCCTGCCACGTGTCAGGTGATCCACAACGGAAAACTCACTCAGCGAGGCATTCGAAGTGAATACAGGAGTAAGACAAGTCTGGCTGCCTGACTATTATCACCGATGATATTCTTAATTGTGGTGGACTGGATTATGCGTCAGACTGTGCATGGGAGTGATAAGACGGGAAGTACGGTTTCAACCACAGGCGACAGCACGGATAAAGATGTCAAAGCCAGCCAGAGAGGATCGGAAAGGTAAGATACGCCTTCATCAACCTGAAATCAATTTGAAAATCTTTTGCACTCACTCAGCTAGCATAAACAACAAGATTCGAATTTTCAACACAAATATGAAGTCGATCAGTCAGTCATTTGTTCTATAAAGGGTCTGAAACTTGACGAGTGTGTGACGAAAAAGAATTCCAACAATTTACAGACTTTTATCAACAGCTGCCACCTTCGATGGCTGGCTCCATACTGATAAAAATGAACTTGGTTTAGACATATATAAACTATCTATAGTTTAGAGAAAACTACAACAAAAAAACAACAAATAGATATACTTTTCAAGAATTGGTTTGTAAGGATTAGATTTCTTTTGACGAGTTTGATCACGATTAATCAGTTAGAGAGTGAACCATTGAAAACCAGCACTGGAGTACTGGACAGCCAGCTGTTTCATCAGACTAGTTTGGGAATCATCCCCAGTACGCGCTCACCACCAGAATTTGAACCCAAGACCTTCCGGTTACAAGGCAAGCTAACTCGTATACCATTCAGCCACTGGGACCCACCCGACTCCTCAATGGCCAGTCCATGAATTCTAACTTCTACCAATTTGTGATGAATTTAACGCGACTGGCACCAACCAATGTCATCGGTGGGACATCTATCCTCATTCCCGACTGGATGCACCTCACTGGTCACTACTTCTATCACTAGAACTCCAGGAAACTCCATCCTGTAGCAAGTCACTAGCGAGCATCAGACACTCGAAATAGGCTGATGAAACAGCTGGCTGTTCAGTACTCCAGTGCTGGTTTTCGATGGTACCCTCTCCATCTCTCTTTAACTGGCATCAATCCGTGGTGAAAAAACTCGTTAAAAAACAAAAACAAATAGATGATATATACACACTAGATTATTTCACGTATCATTAAAAAAGAAAGAAAGAAATATTTCTTACTTGGATTAGCTAATACAAGATCAGTTTCTTTAGATAATTGAGCTTGTCTTAATCCTTCAACAAGTTGTTGATATTCTTGTTTCAAACGGTCAGAATTATGCTGTTTCATTGAATTCACCGCTTCAGACAATTGATTTAAACTTGTTGTACACTTTTCTAATGAACGTTTTGTAATTAAACAACTCATTGATTCAATACAAACATTATCTAAGTAGTTAATAATAATTTTAAAAAAGGAAAATTATGCGAAAGAAGAAAAAGACGATAGATAAACATTTCTAAGGAATAATTATATATTTAAAACAATTAGTTCCCTTTATGAATTTAGATAAAACAATAAGAAGACGTAATTTGTCTGAATCGTGTGTAACGTGTATTTGCGCAACACATTTCGAACAATCTGATCACACACGGACTTGTCATAGGAATATAAATGTGTGAAATTAATAAAGCGGTAAGAGGTGAGAAAATAGACTTAGGTCAAGTTAAAAGGACATATTGAAGGTCAAAATAACAATGAAGATCACTAAACCAAATAATAACAGAGGTAACAGTACATCTACTCTAGTTAGTATCAAAACAAACTTTACCAAGAAAGGTTTAGTGTGATGATAAATTGTTTTTTGAACTCATGAAGGTGATTTAAACTTTCTAATTGCCAGCTACGGCTTCCACAAACTTTAGGATACGCCCCAAACACATTTTATAGATAGGTTTAAAAGATCTGCTAACGTCACTTTTATGTCCTGTCTCCTCTGTGATATGTTTTGCAGTAGAGGAGCTAGATCGTCTGTTCTCATCATTAATGGATTCTGGGGATTCTATTTGTTTCTGGAGCCATTTAGGAATATGCTCTGAAGCCAGCCCTTATTTGCAGAGATCGATGAGTCCTCCCTATGTATGTCTGGCCACACGTACATTCAAATTGATAAATACAGTGGGATATGACGTCATTTGTCGGATGTTCGAAGGGCTTAGATGGATACATTGGCTTTACATTCTCTATTATTATGATATTGGCTGCATAAAAAGACTTTACCAATTTGAATGTACGTGCGGTAACACTTACACATATAGGGCTCATCGATCTTTCCAAGTAAGGGCTGGCTTCAGAGCATATTCCTAAATGGCTCCAGAAGCAAATAGAATCTTCAGAACCCATTTATGATGAGAACAGACGACCTAGCTCTTCTATTGCGAAACATATTATAGAGACAAGACGTGCAATTGACGTTAACACATCTTTTAAAAATATCTATAAAAAGACAGTTGCAGCGAAGAAAAATTTCTTTTCGACGAAGTCATCATCTAGGCTGTACATTCGTGTATTTATATCAAATGGATGGGAAAGTCCCAGAACAATTTCTGGTTAGGGGTTAAATTAATAAAAATTACAATTAGGAATTAGAATGCCATAATAAACAGGGGGATGGGTAAAACTATTATGCTACTTTGTTTGAGTTTTACCCATCCCCCTGTTTATTATGGCATTCTAATTCCTAATGGTAATTTTTATTAATTTAACCCCTAACCAGAAATTGTTCTGGAACTTTCCCATCCATTTGATATAAATACACGAATGTACAGCCTAGATGATGACTTCGTCGAAAAGAAATTTTTCTTCGCTGCAACTGTCTTTTTATTCCCTATCTATAAAACGTGTTTGGGGCGTATCCTAAAGTTTGTGGAAGCCGTAGCTGGCAATTAGAAAGTTTAAGCCACCTATATGCGTTCAAAAACAATTCGTCATCACATTAAACCTTCCTTGGTAAATTTTGTTTTGATACCATAGCAGATGTACTATTACCTCTGTTATTTGGTTTAGTCGTCTTCATTGTTACTTTGACCTTGAATATGTCCTCTAAACTTGACCTAAGTCTATTTTCTCATCTCTTATCTACTTATTAATTTCATATATATTCCTATGACAAGTCCGTGTGTGATCAGATTGTTCGAAATGTGTTGCGCAAATACAACATTACACGATTCAGACAAATTACGTCTTCTTATTGCTTTATCTAAATAATATTTATACACAGTAAGGAGAGTAATAAAATTATTAGTTATCAAGACCACAGTTTTACTGAAGAAGAGATTTTATATGTTCCAATGCTAATGTAGGTGGAGTTGGAATCCAATCAGTGATACTGTAAAAACAGAAGACAAGGGCCAGGCAACAGATCGTTTATTAAGGAAAATCAACACATATTTATAGATTTTAATGTACATTATTGTAGATTATTTTTAGAATAAAAACGAGTCTTTTGATTGGTTGTTTCTCACAGAAAGTTAACCTTGCACCTCTTTATGGCTGTGTCAGATCATCCATATGCTAACTGTATCCGCCTACGCAAAGCCTTTGTTCTCATTTTCTCACCACCACCAATATTGGGGACATAAACATTGACGTCAATTACTGTCTACCAACTTTGGCTAGCAGCCACCACAATACGATTGCATTGGCCTAAACATTCAACATCCACGTTCGAGTAGCATCATCCTGTTGACCGCAGGGCGTGTATACTGCTCAACAGTCAGTTTGCCCCGTCCTACTTTATGGCTGGCTGTGAGACATGTTCACTGAAAGTGGAAGATATGATGAAAAGGCTGGCTAGCTAGCTGTCTTTGATCATAGGCGCCTACGTTATATCTCCCGTGTGAATTGGTATAAAATGGGGTAAGGAATATTGAGGTTAGGCCTCAGTCGAGTGCTAGGTAAGGAGGAGGGGAAATCAATTGACGAGGCTGTGAAGTTACATTGACTGAGATGGTTAAGAGATGTGTTATGTATGCCTAGCCACCGCCTTCCTTGACAACGGGAAATGTTAGCTGACATAGGGTCAGTCTGGAAAAGAGACAGCACATGGTGGTCAAACCGAAACATGGCCTCATCAGTCAATCAAATCCACAACAGTTAGTTTAAGACTGGTTGGAGTCCTCGAAACGGTAAAATCCAATGCAAACTGGAGACAATCGGTGATATAAATCAAAATCCTCGTTCTCAATGTCTGGTGCAGATGCATCCACTCCTTGTCACTTATACTACCCAGTGTTCTTCCTTATTACTATTCCTTTGTCCCATATCCCTGTCTTCTGTCTCTATAATGCATTTCTTCTACTTTCTTCTCTTGCTTTGTGTGCTACAAGGAGGGAGTGTGGCGACTTGAACTGCTGTACATCGGTGCAGTCCTATGTTGAAAACAGACTGACAGGTAAGGAGGGAAAATCAATCAACGAGGTTGTTGGCTGAAGCTAGATCGACTGAGATGGTTAGGGGACATGTGTTACGCATGTATCCCTAGACATCGATTGCCTTCCTCGACAACGGGCAATGTTAGCTGACTGACGTAGGATGGATCAGATTGGTGGTCAGACCAAAGCATAGCTTCATCATCAGTCAATGAAATCCACAAAAGTTAGTTTAAGCCAACCACGTTAGGAGGTGTAGACTTCTTGACTGATCGAGGTCCTCGAGATGGTAAAAAACCTATAAAGGCTGGAGACAATTGGCGATATGGCTCAAAATCCTCATTTTCAAATGGCTGGCGCATATGTATTCACTCTTTGTGATTTTTTAGTCATATACAATAAAACTCTATTGTTCTTCCATTTTACTGCTGTTTTTCCATCACTGGTACGTCTGTTTAGTGTCTCTCTTTTGATGAATCTCTGTTTACTCTCTTCTCCTGCTTTGTGTACTGCTTGGAGTTAGTGTGTCAACTCAAACTGCTGCACATCTGTGCAAAGTTCTACGTTGAAACCAGTCAGTTAGTCAGTCACCATCACCCCACCACCAATCTTTATTAGCTCTCAAACACAACCCTTGGTACACGAAAGTTCCATTCTGGGTAATTGAGTTCAAACAAAATAAACGTTTTTCTGGCGAAAATGAATGATGGCACAGTCGAAAGATCTATATTTAGAAAGCCTTCATGAACAGGACAGTACATACATTTCAAAAGCTTTGTTCCAATCCAGTATAAAAAGAACTTAGTCAGAATACTGTTCAATAGAGCACGAAAAATTTGTTCTGACAGTACTGTTGAGAATGAAATAAAATCTCTGAAGGATATCTTATCCAAGAATGGATATCCTGAGAAGTTCATTAATAAATACTCTAAAGAAAACACCCCCTGCAAAACAATCCAAACAGTCCCGAAGAAATCTGTCTATATCAGTTTGCCATTCAAAGGAGATGATGTACAGGAAGTAGTCAAACGAAGACTCGACAAAGCTATCAAGAGAACTTATTATGTTGCAAAATTTGTTCTCCTTAAGACCACTAAGCGAGTGCTTTAACAATCTGGGAAAGACCAGTCGCCAATCCTCGACGACTGCGTGTATCAATTTGAGTGTGTTTGTGGAAGCAAATACACAGGTCGTACAGAAAGGTGATTGTCAACTCTCATGATGAAGCATTTGCCAAAATGGTTGAAAACAGCTGAGTAGAAAGTGCCAAATACCTCAATAACAAGACATCTTGTGGACTATGGACATGATATTGACGCTGTCAAGTCATTCACTATTGTCAGCAGACAAAGAAACAAGAAGATGCTTGCAATTGCAGAGGCTTGTGCAATTCGAGTTTACAAACCAGGTCTCTGAGTACAAAAAGAGATGGTCGTCACTCTGAATCTACCATGGTAATACGTTTTACTTATCGTTCTATCTCTAATTATTATTATTATTATTATTATTATTATTCTTGATTCATTTAAAACTATCCTTTATCAGTAGCATTATCTTAACACACTTCAACATTATTGTTATTATAACTATCACTATTGATATTACTCTGTTTGCAATTCTTGATATATTCTCTAATGACTAATTGTTTATCTAAGTGATGTAATTGAAGCGTAATGCATTTTGTCTTAATTTTAATCTCTCATACTCCCTCTCCCCTTATCTATTTGAACATGACCTGGAAAAACATTCGCACTTGTCTTTCTGCATGACTAATTCAATGTAGTTTATTTGCTTATCAGTCTTATATCTCCCAATGTAATTTCAAAAGTATTTATCCGTGTATGTAGAGTATTCAGCTGACGAGTTCTACCGAAATTTGATGAATTCATTAAATCCTGCTTTATTAACTTTTATTGCTTGTTTTAAATTCGTATCGGGAAATAAATGTTTCCAAAATAAACCTCGACTAACTGATTGAAAATTGATTGGTTAAGATAATAAATGGGCCACAATTCTATTGGTTTAAATTTTACCATAACTTTTTTTTAAATTTCTGCCAAGTTTTGTTATTATTATTATTATCATCACTATTGTGAATAGTAAAATTTACCTGGATTATTTTGATCATAGAAACTTGAAGGAAATATAAAATTTTACTCTATTCCTTCAATTTATAAGATCGAAATCCGTGTGTAAGTCTACAGTGTTCAGCTCAAGGGACAACACATTCTAACTTTCAACTCTAATGTCAAGTCAATGCTACTCTGTAATTCAGGGACCTGGCACATATACATGTCACCAAAACCATTTCCAACAATAATGGAGAAGATTTGTAGCTCAGGTGAATGATTTTGATGCAGTTGTGTTCTCTGAGCTAGCCGGATGGTTTATTTGCGAAGCTTTCATTGCCCCCGACTCCCTGGGCAACATCTTCAGCGCCATACTCCAGTTTCAAGTGAGCTTTTCGATTTCTTCACGAGTTTATCAGTCATCTCTCCCGGTGACCACCTTGAACGTCGTGATTGGTGGTTTTTGTGTATTTTCACACCCTCTAGGTTACTTGTATTGGTATTGGTGCTGATTGTTTCCTTGATCTGAAGTTTGACCCTTTGTGTGTAAGATCTCCTTCTTATCGATTGGTAAATTTTGTCTATGTCGATGTGTCTATTAATTGACGACTCACTGGAATACCACTCACTCACTGCAAGACTCTTCAAACCTTCAGAAATTGATGTCGCATACAAACCAACAAAATCACTTCACTCAGCTGGCTCTGTATCAGCCAAAAGACTCAACAACGAAAGAAGATAAAACCAACATCATCTACAAAATAAATTGCAACGACTGAGAAAAAACGATACTTTGGTAAAAGTGGACGTCCTCTTCGTCTTCGTATCCATGATCACAAACTAGTTAGCCGTCAAAAGACATGACATCCACTCTCTCATATCACTACATACAGACAACCACGGACATCAGTTCGATTGGGGCAACGTTCGAATATTAGATAGAGGAAACACCAAGAATGCTAGAGAATTTTCAGAAGCCTGGTATTCTAGTGAGTCGTCAATTAATAGACACATCGACATAAACAAAATTTACCAATCGATAAGAAAGAGATCTCACACACAAAGGGTCAAACCTCACTCAGGTCAAGGAAACAATCAGCACCAATACCCATACAAGTAGCCTAGAGGGTGTGAAAACACACAAAACACAACCAATCGCGACGTTCAAGTAGGTCACCGGGAGAGATGACTTATAAACTCGTGAAGAAATCGAAAAGCTGACTTTAAACTGGAGTATAGCGCTGAAGATGTTGCCTAGGGAGTAGGGGGCAATGAAAGCTTCTCAAATAAACCATCCAGGGTTGCTCAGAGAACGCAACTACATCAAAAAAGCATTCCCGACAAGCTACTACCACTACTACTAGATGCTTTCAACAACAAATGCTTCCACTAGATGCTGGCCAACAATAAGGAAACCTAGCGGCGAACAAAAACGAAAAAACAATCTACTATGCAACAAACATACACAAAGAAATGAAGAGGAGCTGATCAACATCCTTCCTACTACAAGCTGTACGGATTAAAACGTCAGCCAAGATCACGCCATAGGGAAAGCAAGACAAGCGTCTGTTATTGTTCAACTCATCATGGAGAACTACTGCACTCAGCACAAGGAGCAGGACTCGAATTTTGTTTAGCACTTTAATGTCAAATCTGTGCGTTAATACGTCATTTTTCTAACAAGTGACGGTAAATTCTCATATCAACAGCTGTCCCTATCACTCGATAATGAAGATCGATATTGGATAGATAGGATAAACGCCAAGAAACTCTAGTAGACAAGCGAATCAGTCAATAACCCGATGACCGATCCAACTAGCACGAAACTTAGGTATCAGCAGGGCTTCCTGCCGATTGCCTTTAACCATCGAATACCAACAATTCAATTCACAGTGCATCGTGATGGCGAGCCACCACCTAGTGGCATGCTGGCCAAAATGCAAACTTAACTGATAACAGAATTCAGTCTGCACCAAAGATAGGATGAAACATACACACACACACACACATTACACTAGTTACTGACTAGTGTCCAATCAAACAAAAATATCCAATACATTCCTACAGGAGGTCAATCGTGAGCCTGAATAGCTCAGTGGTAACGTCTCTGATTGCAGGTGGCACTGATTGCCTCTGGTTCGAATCTCAGAAGTGACATGAGCTCCTTCGAGGTCGCAGATACGCCGCCTTGCTGACTGACTAGTGAGTGCCAGTTAGCACGAAACCTAGGTGAGGCAAGGCTTCCTTCCTGTAGCCGATTGCCTCCAACCTTTTAATACCAACAGATCGAACATTTTAAACGGTAAGCACACTGTTTGAATAACATCATACACACCAGGCCGTCGAGTGGAAGCCAAATGTGTGAGAAGCGATGAGATTGGGGGCCCATGGGTTACATGAGAGTAATATGAGTAGGAAATTTTAAAAAAATGCTTGCCGACAGTCGTGCACGACCAGTTGAGCAAGTATATGTATGTCGAGAGTATCAGGACAAAAGAAAAAAACATCACAAACTCACCAATATTATGCGCTTCATCGAAAACAATCACTGAATTCTTCGGTAATTCACGGGATACAATATTAGCTATTTTCGGATCAAGCAGATAGAAATAACTATACACAATAATATTGGCATATGTAATCTATATAAAATGAATTGTAAGGGACAAGCAATTTATCGAAACCTACAGCATATCGTGTAAGGAAGTAAGGACAGTAATTATGCTTCTTGCCATAAGCTTTAATATCATTCTATAAAGAAATGAGTGAAGAGGGAGGGGAGGGGTTGGGGGTTAATATTGATTATTCACCAACATACTATATTATAGATTCCTGGAGGGATAGGATTTTCACGACCATTCAAATCAAATTCCTACAAAAAAATAATTCCATCTCAGAGAATATGCAAATAACTTACCTCAAAGTATTTACAACTCGGTATTGAAGGATCATCCAAATGCTTTTTGCGTACAAAACTAGCCGTCAGGCGAAAACACGCTGAATCGACAGCAGCCCCATCACCAGCCATTCGAACGTCACGTTCAATACACATATTTTTACGTGATGTCAGTATCAGTCCAAGTAGGCCACAGCCTTTTGCATCATTTGTCTCCAAGGCATAATATTTATCAAGAACTTTTAACTCCTCAATAACTTTTTCTAATTCAGGTACTGTTCTAGAACAATAGACAAATTTCTCAACAGCATTGGGACGTGCTTTCATATAGGCAACAACCAACGACAGTAAAGAGACTGTTTTACCTGTACCAGATGGCATTTCTAAAACACCATGACCCTAATTTTTGTGAAAGATTAGGATTTCTACTTACTTTTGCGTCCAGTGTACGCTTTAATTCAATCATATAATGATATTGTTCTGGGTAGATATATTCATAAGGGAAATAAACTAGAAGACCGTCAATATTTATCCTAAAAGGAACATTTTTGGTAATAAAGCAAATTGTATAACTAACTTCATTGCGCGTATAAAATCAAGTGTCTGAGTTGTGTTTACAGAGATACAGTAGTATAGGAAACTTCAATTTGAAGGCTTCTACCAATGACTTGTAATGAGAATTCTATAAAATAAAAAAAAAATTGGTTAGACAAGAAATTGTTAGGGTTAAACATCGAAAAAAAGCGGATGCCCGGCGCTCTTCACCGGGTTGACTGTCCATTGGATGACAGTCTAGGGGAGATGGCTAAACCCTGATTCCAAACCTCCAACGACTGGCGTATGAAGCTCACTGGAGCTCACCGGTAGACGTATGGACAAAGGGCTTGTTGGATGTCCTGGATGTCTGGCCCCATTCAAAAAGGTGTATGAACCGAACTCCGGTCACCGGCTGCCAATGGATAGTGGACTCCCTACTCCACTCCTACTGCCTTGTAGGTCACACTTGGTTGTGTAAAGGCTAGAGCTGCACTCTCAAACAAAAAGCCGAGCGATTCTGGGGACATCACTCGTACCAAATTCCCATGAAACTTCATGAACTCTCTTACAACATCAACCAAATTCCAGTACTGGTCTAACAACGTCGCCTTCGGTGGTTTGGCCATGTTCTGCGCCCACCAGATGACGATCTGGTCAAATCAGTTCTAAATCCCTCGCCATTACCATCTTGGCGATGTCGCAGGGGTGGACAGCTGAAAACATGGCTTGGTACAGTCAAGGCTGATATGGAGTGCCTGGGGCTACAAACCGTCTACGGACTCCGTCTGTGGAACAAGATTCGGATAACCCTGTCGCAAAACCTTGCATCAGATCGCCGCGCCTGGGCAGCGATGATTCGAGATGTTCATGAAGCCGGCTCATCCTCCCGTAGGAGATAGCCGAAGTAAAAAAAAACATCGAAAAAATATATACATATATTCACAGAGATGTATACAGTAGACACTAAGGAGCACAGGACAACTGTCTCCTCCTACTTTGGGACTCTACAGCAGTATGCACGACAACCCCACCACTAGGGATAGAACAGTGGGGCCTTCAGGTTACGAGAGTAAGCTCGCTGACCATTTTAGTAGCTTGGGTCAGTGTGTGCGATGATCTGCGACTCTCAAATAATGTCTTCAATGAGCATCTTCTTCACCTTAACATGGAGAGACCTTACTGGCCACAGCTGATTGAGTTTCAGTTCAAGTAACTGAATAATCCACGAACTTGTTTTCATAACTAAGAGGTGCCTATTTTGATTCCTGCGGGTGGGTAATGGGTAAGAATTGACCAATAAACAATCCAGTACAGCCGAGGGTAGGTAGACTTCTATCTTCTCTCTCTCTCGAAATGCTCTCATATGACCACGCCTTCATAGCCTCTGCCAGGTAAGTTCTTCACAAAACTGAAAGGATGAATTCGAAATTCTGGCAATTACAACCGGACTAGTGGATGTGTAGGTCTACGTAGGAGAAGCGGAAAACCTTAATTCCAAACTTATGATGTACATTAGCACCAGAATGTTAAAGAGACTAATAGAGTATGAACCTGTTTTGGCCACTGGCAACTGTAGGAAATCAGCTCCACTGTCATGTTAAAAGCTTGGAGAGTGACCTCCTAAAACAACCATTTGCTTCTATCTGAACGTACTGGCAGTATGCTAGCGTACCTCTTCGTGCCTATACTGTACCGAGTTTACCCCTTAATAATCAAAAGCATTGCTAAAGGATCCTAAACGAAGATGAGGCAACTGTACAGTGTGTTGCTTAGTTTCCACTGAACTCTAATCAGTGTTGGTTCGTGACGAAATCCACACTGAAATTGATCCAAATCACAAAAACAATAAAATCCCGTAATCTAAACTGTAAAGAATTATGATCTAAAAATAAGAACGTAAGTACAACTGAATTATGTCAATTAATAAAGAATATTATTGATGAAACGCTTAGGAAGTACAGCTTTGATTGGACACTAGTCAGTAACTAGTGTAATGTGTGTGTGTGTGTATGTCTAATCCTATCTTTGGTACAGACTGAATTCTATTATCACTTAGGTTTGCATTGTGGCCAGCATACCACTAGGTGGCTCGCCGTCACGGTGCACTGTGAATTGAATTATTGGTATCAGATGGCTGGAGGCAATCGGCAGTAAGGATAAATAATATACTGTATTCTCTCTGACATTAAGAGATGAAACAAAAATCTCTGATGATGTTATCGACTAAACGAAAATCTTTGAGACAGCATAATTTCCCTCAAAGTGACAGAGACTGTGAAGCTACATCAAATGAGATGGGTAGGATAGGTGTTGCGTATGCCTAGCCACCGCCTTCCTCGACTGACGGGCAATGTTAGGTGACATAGAGTCAGGCTGGAAAAGAGCTAGCACATGGTAGTCAAACCAAAACATGGCCTCATACGTCAATCAAATCCACATCTGTTAGTTTAAGCCAGCCACATAGGAAGGTGTAGACTTCCTGAATGGCTGGTTGGGTAAGAACCAATGCAAGATGGAAACAATCGGTGATATAGCTCAGAATCCTCGTTTTCAATGGCTACCGCAGATGCATCCACTCCTTGCGACTTATACTACCCAATGAAACTATATTGTTTTTCGTTATTACTATTCCTTTTGTCTCATATCCCTGTTTACTCTCTCTAGTATGCATTTCTTCTACTTTCTTCTCTTGCTTTGTGTGCTACAAGGAGGGAGTGTGGCGACTTGAACTGCTGCACATCGGTGTTTTATGTCGGAAACAGACAGATGTCTCAGACAGTGAGTCTTGAAAGCTTATTGCCAATTAATCTACATCATCTAACTAATCAAAGAAACACTAGCAGAATATCATTTCCTCTGACAGAAGTACATTTAAAAAGTGGTGTTGTTTATGTTTGAACTCTATCGCCTAACACAAACATTGTATGAGGGTTGGTGATTTTTTTCAGTTGCCTAGGTTGAAGTAGGTTGAACCAAAGTCGAATCTGTAACCTAGTGGCTGGAAATATCGGGTGCTTCAGCCAATGAGTCACATCTTCATTTTTTTTAAAGTGATACTAATTTGTAAACCAGAAAGATTTTCATAACAAACTTATATCAGTAACCAATTTTAGTTTCAATAGTTCTATGTATTCACGTAACTAAAACATAGAACCTGGTACAATATAAACACCAATAAGATGAGCAACACTCTGTCTGTCTGCCTGCTTTTGACGTAGAATTTGCACTGATGTGCAGCAATTCAAGTCGCCACACTCCCTCCTTGTAGCACACAAAGCAACAGAAGAAAGTAGAAGAAATGTATAATAGAGACAGTAAACAGGGATATGAGACAAAAGGAATAGTAATAAGGAAGAACAATATAGTTTCATTGGGTAGCATAAGTCACAAGAAGTGGATGTATCTGCACCAGCTATTTAGAACGAGGATTTTGAGCCATATCACCAATTGCCTCCAGCTTGCATTGGTTTTTACCGCTCCGAGGATCCCAACCAACCAGTCAGGAAGTCTACACCTTCCTAAGTGACTTGCTGGCTTAAACTAACTGTGGTGGATTTCATTGACTGATGAGGCCATGTTTTGGTTTGACCACCACGTGCTGTCTCTTTTCCAGCCTGACCCTATGTCAGTTATTATTGCCCGTCGAGGAAGGTGCGCTACACAGTAATGAAACAACAATATATAAAGCATATAGGGAGAGAATGAGTAAAGGACTTTATCCAGCAAGGAAGCACCTATACTTAACAAGATCAAACAACATTCGTCGAATTACTGTCAGAAAGTTGCAGCATGTTCGCTATTGATTGTGATTCTTAGCCATATCCGATTCCAACTATCTCTCAGACCCTAACCAGGGGGTCGTGATGTGCCAACCGATGCTGATCTAATACAAATATCTTCCATCTCAAGACACCACGTCATAGGCTGCCCAGATCTCATAGTTTCCCATCGCGTCCTAGGGCTGGAGAACAGAGACCGGTACGGAAGCCTCTGGGATGACAATCGTACCACATGTTCGAGTCACCGAAGCCAGTGTTTCAAGGTGGCGACACTCAATGAACAGTGAGCTCTACAGTGCCCGAAAACACGCTGCAAGATCTCAGGATTACTCACACGGTGATGCCATATAACGCACGCAATTCTACGAAGGCAGCGATGATCGAATGCCCAGAGTCACCACACATCCTAAGCTCGAAGAGGCCAGGTTTCACAGGCGTAGAGATCGCGCACACCGAAGCACTGTATACCCAACCTTTGACAGCCAGGCTAACGTCGCAACGGTGCCAGAGATGGCTCAAGTTAACGTATGCCGCCCTAGCTTTCATGATACCTTTCGTAATCTGTTCCATCACACCTTCACCAGCACTCACACAACTACTCAGATACACAAACGCACCGACAACTTCAGGTGGTTCACATGCAAGGGTAAGCGTAGGTACATGCTCCCGGCAATTGGGTAACAGCAATTCCACATTAGTGTGCTTATTAGATATATCACACAGTGAAACAGTATTATTTACTGTATGACGTTTCGAACAAAATTTATTGTTCATAATCATATCAATTATAATCACACGACTTCCAAACTTGTGTTTTATAGTTTTCTTTGTTTTCTCCTACTCCTACGATAAAGAGGAGAATTACTAACAAACACAATGCCCAAGTTTTACACATATTAATATGGGTAATAGCACTTTGCATTTCGATGACGCAAAGTACATACCATAGTTACAGACACTGATCGCCAACTGTTTAAGTGCAATTTGGACAGCCTGCATTCTATCGCACACTAAGACGATATCATCTGTATAATCGGGGTCGAAATGTTTTTCTCCGGGAAGCAGATCTCCACTACCGAGCACTTCCTTCAGAGCTGACTTCAGAATGTCATCGATGACATATTCAAGGAGAAATGGAGAGATTAAGTAACCCTGTCTAATTCTACCGTTTAGTTGATAAAAATGATGATAGTTGGTTGTGTGCCTTCACTCTACCTTAGGTATTTCTCTATAAGGCTTTCAGGATGTTAATAAACTTCTCAGATACACCCCTTCTTTAACAGACAGTTTCAGAGAACATTTCTGTCAAAGGAATCAAGGGCAACCATGATATCAAGAAACACAATGATTGTTGGCCTGCAATACTTGTGACGGTGTTCAAATAACTGGTATTTAAAAATGTACGTAAAAGGAGGAATGATTTTAATATTTCATTAGAACCAAAATCTATATGTATGATGAGCGTTGAATGAAGTCACAAACTTCTGCTTTTGTGATACCTTTATCACCTATATCAACTCAGTAGCAAGTAAAATACAATTAATTTGCTTGATACAAGCTTTTCTGTGTCCCAAACTAGCAGCTACAAATACTGGTGTGAAAACTCATCGGAGCACCTGGTATTTCAGATAGAAATAGGTGAAAAAATGCTATAGTCTGTAATCCACTAACTTTGTAGCATGATGACGAACCATACATTTGCTGTCAATACAGCTATCCACTCATAAGTGAGTACAAATACTACTAGTATGTGACACAATGGAACAATGTCGAAATTCTGCATATGGACAAATGTGTTGTAGCGCTTTAATGATCAAGCTGTGGCTTTAGTGAGCCTATATTAAATTGTGTGTGGCCTAGGCGCTCGGCTTTCAACCAGTGGTTCACAGGTTCAAACTCCCCTACAACTACTATGGTTTCAGCAGCCAGGTAGTATCCACCAGCATTCACACAAGAGGTGTGGCTGGTTGTCGGAAGTTTACAGTAAGAGACAATCCTGTTAGCAATGACTTCAGGCGCACTGTTGACATTTCAGGCCGCTCCCAGAAGCTCTGCACTTATTCCCACAGCTTCAAAAGTTTTTGAAAATAAGAGTAGTAGTAAGTAATTAAGTGACTGCCATTTTTATAAGGGAATAATTCCTGCAATCCTATGTGCATCCACAGTTTCTAACGCATTTTAGACCAAAGTTTTAATTGTATCCTAAGCTTACAACAATTCTGAACTTATTCTAACGTATGCGTCGATAATGCCTTTTTATGGTAAATGAAGATTTTATCTACCCACTATGTACTCAAATACCGCTGGTCGTCCTTAAGAAGAAAGCTGGGTGCTTAATTAATGCGACGAAATCTTAAAGATTGTCACTATGTGCTGAATTAAGTCTTTTCGTTCCGAAATAATGCTAGCCAATGCTTAATATGTCATGTGAGGGCTGGAACAACGCTGATAAGCAAACCCAGTAGGTTCTGATCTCCTGAAAATGCCTAGAAAAGAACACGGTGCTAAATTAGTGGCATTAGTAGACAAAAGACAAGTAGTTCAGCAAAGAGTCTCTTTTCGGCGAATTCATTTTCAAAGCTGTACAATCGCAAATATATATGGTTATTTTGTGTGTGTGTGTGTGTATACATTAAATTTGTCAAACAAAATACGGTTAGTAAGTTCAAATGAATTGGATGTTGATAAGAGGATAGCAAAAAAAGTGGTGAGTTGTCATAAATGATTGTTAAATAAGAGTTACGCAATGGCATGAATAGATTGATGAATGAGGTGTACTCAAAGGGTTTACATGGAAACAAAATAATATACAGAATTACACAAGGGTTTTAAGTTAGAAAAATAAGCATACAAACAGAAGTAAGGTCAAATCAAACAAACAAAGAAGAGTTGGGTCAAATCAACGGAGTTGTTACCATGCGAGTAGAAGTGGTTGTTACTACCCTCTTAAATGAACATCCAATTCACCTAAACTTACTCCTCTTTAACAATCGTTTTGACAACTCATCACTTTCGTTGCTATCCTCTTATCAACATCCAATTCATTTGAACTTACTAACCGTATTTTGTTTGACAAATTTAATGTATACACACACACACACACAAAATAACCATATATATTTGCGATTGTACAGCTTTGAAAATGAATTCGCCGAAAAGAGACTCTTTGCTGAACTACTTGTCTTTTGTCTACTAATGTCCGAATGGGAATTATTCATGAATTAAAAAGAAATTAGTGGCAGTCGTGGTGTTCTATTCTGTGCCATTAAAGAAACCATTTCAGAATAGATTCAGAATCTACTCACTAAAGAATGTTAGAATTATTTCAGAATTAGTGGGATTTAATTCAGCATTACATTAAGCTTGGGACAACGGGAAATATATAAGTTGAGTGACGAATGAGACAACTTGAGTTGCTGAAAAACGGACTTTAAATAACTGTAGGTTTCATACTAACACATTCAATCTCCCTTAAGGATTAATTTTAGCTACCAAAGTTTATAAACCCAGTGGGCCCTACAGATAGCTGACCTTGAACGAACACGTGAAAACGAATTGCCCGCTCAATGCTCAATAACGAAGCCAGCCTGAAATTAGACAAGCATGGTTTCAACAATGGAAAAAACTTATCATTCCTTACAAAAAAGACGTTTTAAAACACTGTCAGAGTATAAGCCACCAGTAAACGCAGTAAACACTGATACTTGACTTCAGGTGTAAACGTCAACTTCCAAGACGCTACACTATTGCTAATCACCTAGTATTTTCGGTATAGACTCTTTTGAAAGGTAAATAAATGTCAAGGCAAGCTAACGATTACTCACTTAATCTAGTTCGATAGCCACCATTATTAATCAGGAAGTTCCGACTAACGGCAGAGGCATTGCCATATCCAAAGGTTACCAACCATCAATCCTCCAATAAGGGTTTAAATGGTATACGTCCTATGAGGACACAGGGCGCAAAAGTTTTAGCATACCCATGGGGCTAGTCTGTGACAAACTGGAAATGTCGAAAGTGGAACTCAACTGCGTGCCTCACTTGGAGATTGTTCGGCTCTTGCATAGTCAGTACGCCTCATGGCCGTACGCTGTGCCCAAATAATCAAACTTACTGGCTCATTATTGTTGATTATGAAGGCCTAAATAAATAAAACGTTCCGAACAAACATTTGTTGCCCAATATTCTGCACTTCACTTAGAGTCTTCACAGCGCCACACAAACAAGACCAATACCAGCTTCCGGCAATGAATCGAGTATTCCTCACAACATGGAATAAGGACTGCGTATGGCTAAGGTGTAAACAGATGCAAAATATGCAGTCTCTTAACTAAGTGCAATATTGAGCCGACTGGAATCGCTTCAATGTTTTGACAGCATAACCACGATGGCACAAACAGAAGCACTCCGACTCCTTTGCAGGAATACATTGAAAAAGCTACTGGAATGCGATTATTTTCAGTAAAAGCAACGGTTCATAAAATAACTGTAAGGATGAAAACTCCGGTCATAGCTTCGTGCAAAGCCGCGGACAGAAACATATAAGGTGGGTGCATTTGAAACCATTTATTAATGACGGATTAGTTGCACGGATCGAATCTGGGACACATCACGGAATGCGAGTTACCAACGGCTTGGATCAAAGGTTTACAGACATCTCAATAAAAGTAGATTTATATAGACCTCGTGTCGTACCACTCTGAAAATTCAGTTTTTTGGGCTGGTTGAAGGACTTAGAGCTAGAGTCCGGTTGGCTTCAGCCAGGAATGGTGCTCACGAATGCTGCATGGCCAGCTGTCCTGCCAGACCCGAACATTGGTGAAAACATCTGCTGATTCTTCAGCCTGGTTCACTTAATATGCTGACCAGGCTGCTCTCAACGCTACCACGAGTAGTTATAGGAGGATATAGTTTTCGTGATGGTTTTAACAAATCTACTAAGTATGGAATGAAGATGGTATTGAGATAAACAGTCACATCACCACTCACCAGCAGTGCCCATTGCTCTTCAAAACCAAGTTGTCTTTAGTGTGATCCACTTCTCACAGTCAAACAAATCGGCTGTCAAAAGCGAAATGTCTGTGATTAAATTGAACCGGAGAACGTCTCTGATTACTTGCGGGGTATCACTCAACGGTATATCCAATCAATCTGTACTTCCTTCTTCAAAGACGTCAAGCAGTATGCTCTTGGTTGACCAGCTGTCAGCCACAGTTCCTTTCTGCTTAAACTTTCTGGACGGCCATCTGCCCTTCAGTTTCGAGCAGAGGTAATTGTTGACGAACTTCCGAAGTAACCTGTCTAAAATACTTACAGTGAAGAGCGCTCTCTATGAGTCACTCACTTGACATAAGGGCTTAAAACAATTAGGATCTTGTTCTATGTGCTAAGTGCTGTGGACTTTCACAGTGATTTCGGAGAGAATAGTGTCTTATTGCAATGCTTCCAGAATCCATGTCGTTTTCGTTATCTTCACTCGGGATGATTTTAACCGAAATGATATCTATGGAATAAGTGAAGGTGACATTCTTCAAATTTCTCTCATTGATGGCGATAGGTATATTATTGCAAACAAATTGCATGTATGGTTTAAAGAGAAATCACTTAGGTATTCTTCAAATATTAACTTGTAAGACACCAAGGGATTCATGAATTTGGGATTTAGAATAATTTATCCTCGCACTTTGCCTCATCTATCTCGACAGCAAGAGTTATAAAAAATAACTGCTGACAATTTGAGGTCCCTGAAGGTAATGAAGGGGTGTAAAAATTGAACCATTATTACATACCTCTATGATTAGTCATTATCTCACCTGCCTAAATACGTTTTTCGTAGGCATAAGTTTATTATTCACTCCTAATTACTTTGAGGGTGTTATGTCCATCGTAAGCCAGACAAAACACTTTGTAGCTCCAGCATGTCTTTACATGTGATCTTCTCCAATCATGATCAATTTTTTAGTAATTTAATCTCACTTCTTCAGTACCACACACACAGCACGCTGGATAACCTATGTTAACTGCCAGCTGCATTATATGTACTTATATGTATATTCCCACAACAGTTACACCTTTGTAGTAAGCGAAATAAAACATTCATCGGAGTCTGGCATTGTAAAGGATGAGATTCGGAAAGCGTTATTCAGGAGATGTAAGATATGGACTAGCCCATTAATCCTCATATCAAGAGCTGTTTTGCAAAATCTTCAAGGTTACTTGGCCTCATAGTGACACATGAAATGGACTCGTTTATCAGGGAGACAGGCTCAACTGCACAAGGCAATAACAAACATGTTGTCGCTCGCAATTACCACCTCCTGCTACGATTAGTACTGCCACCAATTTATTTTATTACCAGAACTTAGTTATCTCACATCGGAAATTTAGTCTTACCCTCACATTGGCAAACATAATCATTATATTCACAACACATTACTGATTTTTAGACTACCAGTCGCCTTGAAGCAGCCTCATGTAAGATGAAGTACACCTTTTTGGAGTTACTTGATAACGACAGTCTAATTAAAAAATGACCATTGATTCCAGTGATGGTACTATCCCCATTCTAAGGGTGAACAAAAATTCAAAACACTTCATTCATGTAGCCTAATACAGGTTATTGGCTTCAGTTATAGTACAACAGCTAAATGAAGAATGTGAACTTTTATTCCATGGTTCTATGGAGAAATATTTTCCCACTAACATTTTTTCAAATATTATGACATTAACATCCACACGAGGCAAAGATTATCCCTCATACCTATGAGAATGGATCTGGGGTTTCCACAAACACAAATCTGTCAATAGTTCTAAACTGCTGAATCATTACTACTACTAACATCATTGCAACTTTTTGCGTAAGACCATTCAAATGACCAAGATTGCCACCCGTGTGTTTAAAATATATTATTTATTTAGCTTCTGTCTCAAACAGCCACAGTGCGACTGTACTCAAGGATTAAAAGAGATTTCCCTTCACTTTAGGTGCACACTTGTTTAAGTATATAAGTTTGAAGGTTAAAACCCACGATCATATAATAACCATTTGCGTTGAAACCAGCCAGTTTCCTGAAGTGTCGCCTGAAGGTACGTTGCCGCTGTGGTCTTTAGGTTTTCGCTGCTGGTGGTTATTGTCTATGTACTTTTCCCGATTACTCTTAGTTTTATTTAATATATGTAATAATCCCTCCGTATAGTTGTTGAATATGTGTATTACATAACACATTTCATATTAAATTACTTGACTGCTCCGCATTCTGAAGTCATTTCGTACCTTTGGGAAGACTTATTCTTCGATATGTGCAATATATAGTTGGATATTTGATTAATGGAGTTTGCATTTGACAATACATATTATGACACAATATTTCGCATAGGACCTCTCGTCATTATGCTCATGAAACAATGCTGTTCAAAAACTCTATAGAATATTTTCCTAGACTTGCAAGGGTTTAGGTTTCAAAGTATTAGGCGTTGTCATGAATTACATTTAATTTTGTGGTGGAACTTCAGGAATCGGTCTGATAATATGTGTATATGCGGTTACTGGTTGGAATATAATGTCATGTTTTTTTAATTCATTCCAGATCCCATTCCTCCTCAGGGTTAACCTACTCAAACTAGTCAATTCTTATTATTTGGAAAATCCATAAACAATGTCCGCTTTTTTGGGAAAATGGAAACTCAGCGAATCTCACAACTTTGATGCTGTGATGTCAAAACTAGGTAAGTAATGCACCTTCCAGCTACTCCTGCGTATTTTAATATTCAACCTTTTTCGGAACGTTCTGTTAATAGCAATCTCGTAGTATACACAGTTGATAATCGTTCGTGATTTTCAGTGCCACGTGTTCTTCAAAGATAATTTCAAACCATCTCGAAAGGTTCGAAATGTTTTTTCTAAGAAACATAGTGTATGTGCCGAGTCAACTGTTCGAATCATGCCTTCGTTGTGAAGGCAGTGTAGATTGCAAGATTCTCAGTATCCTCTATTAATTCATGTAATAGAAGCAGTATTTTAAGTTGACATTTGTTGTGATTGAAAAATCCAGGCTACTTTCATCTGAATGTCACCTGTACAGCACCTCAATATATTGACAGCAAATAGCGTTTAAAACTCAACAGTTATTCCTTATAATTCCTGTGAGATTTTTTGTAGAAATGCTTACTAATTGTTGAGTTTTAACTATCTCATTCTTTTCATGATAGGTGTATCCTGGGCTACACGACAGATTGGGAATACTTTAACACCAACTATGACCTTTAGTATGGATGGGGATAAAATGACGATGCTAACTGAGTCAACATTTAAAAATACTACCTGTACTTTCAAATTTGGTGAAGAATTTGACGAGAAAACCAGTGATGGTAGAAATGTCAAAGTAAGTGAATATATACTCGGAGTAATATCACTTGCAAAATGGACATCCCTTTCTTACAACAGTTTTTAACTGAATTTAGCTAGTTACAATCCCTTGGGTAAAATCAAGCAAATGAACGTTCTTAGAGTCGCTCTCCTTTCAGTATCCTCAGGAAATTAGGATAGTGCTCTGTACACTGAGCTTGATAACTGAGATTCTCAGTCTACAGGCTATGATGTTTGCGTATAACTCCTTACTCTCAGTACCAACCCACAAGCATTATGGTCTTTCACGAATGTCATTACAGATAAAGAATAGTTCAATATCGACGGTCAGTTAGTTGCCTTTAAGGTTAAACAGAAATCACGTTGAAGATTAGGTTTACAGAGCAGCCAAATCACCTTTTCTAGTGTTAATTAAAGACTCCTTATGTCTAACCTTATCAATGTTGGATGTTTGTTTAGAGTTAACGAACACTCAACTGCTCTGAGTCCCTTATATAAATAGTGCAGCTCCATCTTCAAGCCTTGCTTTGCATAACAATTAATAAAAATTCTCTTTTTTTGTCTTTTCAGTCAACTGTTACCAAAGACTCTGAGTCAAAGCTGACTCAAGTTCAAGTGGATCCTAAGAATACAACCACAATTATACGTGAAGTAGAAGGTGACATTATGAACACGGTAAGTTGATGATAATTTCTAATTGATGAATTCTTCCTTCCTTCTTCATTTTTTTTTTTGTAGACAGTTACCGTTGGTGATGTTACCGCTATTCGAAAATACAAACGATTATAAGTGCCGCTTATTATTATTATTAATTTTTTGTTGTTGTGAGAGTGAGATATGCACACACACATAACAGACATAACTTGTCTGATATTGCCTCCATCTTGTTGAACTTTTTGTATAATTATTTTGAACACTGGTGAATATATATATATTTTTTTGTGTGACAATTGTATCATCCAATATTATCGTCGTTATTGTTGTTAATGATTGATTCAACTCCTTTTTAATAAGAAATAAATATCTTGCTTTGTAAAATGTCTTATTTTCACCTTATAAATGAAGTTAAGTATGCTGATGTGTGTCAGTGGTGGAACGATCACATGAACCCTGAGATTTCCTGAGTTCCATTCCCTGCCGATGTATACTTTTAAATCGTCTAGTTTAACTAGCTAATAATAGTAAACAGGAATAGAGGGAAAGTTGGGCATGGTCGGTCGTCGTCGTCGTTTCTCGACATAGAACTTTGCACATATGTGCGGCAGTTCAAGTCGCCACAATCCATGTAGCACACAAAGCAAGAGAAGAAAGTAGGAGAAATGCATAATATAGACAGTAAACAGAGGTGTGAGACAAAGGAATAGTAATAACGAAGAACAAAACAGTCTAATTGGAAATCATAAGTCACAAGGAGTGGATGCATCTGCGCTAGCCATTGAGAACGATTTTGAGCGATGTCACCAATTGTTTCCAACCATTGGTTTTTACCGTCCCGACGACCCCAACCAGTCAGGAAGTCTACACCTTCCTACGTGGCTTAAACTAACTGTTGTGGATTTCCTTGACTGGTGCCATGTTTTGGTTGGACCGCCGCTAGCTCTTTTCTAGCCTGACCCTATATAAGCTAACATTGCCCGCTGTCGAGGAAGGCGATGACTAGGCATACGTAGCACATGTTCTTACCATCTCAGTCGATGTAATTTCACCGTTTCGTCGATTGATTTCCCCGCCTTACCTAGTACTCGACGCCTAACCTCAATATTGCTCACCTTATTATACCCCTTCACACGGGAGATAGAACGCAGACACCTTTGATCGAAGACAGTTAATCTTTTCATGTCTTCCACTCTCAATGGCCAGGTCTCACAGCGATAAAGGAGGACGGAGTGGACTGTTGAGCAGTACACACGCCCTTTGGTCGATAGTCGGATATCGCGTCTACGCCAGAGACGGCGAAAACTGGCGTATGCGAACCTAACCCTCTGTATTTGTGCTGAAATTTCGTCTGAGATCAACCCGTTGGCGTTGGCTGATGGTACTTCCCAAGTAATTGAAGCGGTCAACGTGTTCTACCACTTCACTTCCTATTTCTAATCTAGGGGTCGATGAAGTCCAATCCTGCAGCATCATCTTACATTTAACAGGGCGAATCGCATGCCAAACATACGAAGATTGTTGCTCCAGGTGTTCAGAAGACTCTGCATTTTGTCAGAGTCCTCGCCTAGAAGGACTATATCGTCCGCATATTCTAAGTCAACGAGATTATTCCCTGGTAGCAAGTCAATCCCTGAGTCGCTGAAGTGTGTTAGGGTTAAGTCCATTAGTACGTCTATGATGAAGTTGAATAGGAATGGGGATAATGGGCATCCTTGACGGACGGCACTAGTCGTCACCACTTCAGATGACAACTCGCCATAAGCCCTCACCTGGCTGGGCATGAGACTAGCGCAACCCCCATGCCGTAAAAACAATATCCCTTCTAAAACCTAAAAGATGGATTGATGACTCATTGGAACATAATTATTTATAGTGGTTCAGCCCCATATCTGAATGCATATTGTGTAAGGATAGATAACACCAAATGTATAGCTGTGATGAGGTTCAAACACGAACCTCGTTAGTTGACAATCAGTTTACTTAGACAGACACTAGTAAAACAGCCCGCATAATTTGAATCAGTATACCCATGTTAGACATTTTAATGTAATCGTAGGAAGTCGTGACTTTTAAGTTGATTCTTTTTTGCTGATTTAGTGGTGTCGAGAAAAGTCATAAAAAACGCTCGCAGTCATGACGTTCACCGTCACAGTTCACTCTGAATTGCAATAAACGATGGAATAGACACATGACACTAGTTTCGAATCGAATTATGCATCACATTATGCATTATGTGGTGTAAAATCTGTGAGTGTTGTACTGTATCCCAGACGGGAATTAAGTTCCCTCAAGGTTGTACATACACCTCGCTGACTGTTGAGTGCCAACAATCACAAAGTCTAGGTCCAAGACTTCTTGCCGACAGATTGCAACCATCCAGCAATAACAATAAGTTGAACATTTAACAGTATTAAATATCTAGTTGAGCAGAAAGTATGTCAATAAACAGACAGTTTATTCACGTGATATCTGAGCACTATTCCTCATCATGACAATCAAATGGGGGGGGGGTCCGGTTAACGGCTGGATGTCGTAACTTACAACTCAACCCAACACTAATAATCTGGATGTCGTTAGTTTGAATCCAGCCACGATTAAAATCTTCATTACATATAGTCACATCATCCAGCGAATGTTTAAAGTATAGCAAAAATCCCCCATTTAAACATTTAGAAGACCAAAAGGAGAAGACTGAGCAGAGAATATTTTTTTCAATAACTTCTTCGTTGACAGTTGTATACACACAATATATTTAAAGAATAATTGGTGTTGACAACATAAATGCTTTTGTTTAAATAATATCCAGTTGGTTGAATGAACAAAATTACAGTCCAAAGGCATATATAAGTGTAGTTTCTTTTTATTCCTTCACATTCCCAGTGGAACATAGGACTTCAAGCTAGAGGCCTGAAGTTTCGGTAGTAGTGGTGTTTATTTTTACGTGATGTGGTTGCTAGCCGCGATGATAGCCGATGTAAGGAAGGTGACTGTACGAGTTTCTTCTGAACATATAAGTGTGGCTTCCTCATGGTGGATTGTGATGGCTTTAACTATATTGCAAAGACGAACTCATCAGGGAAAATTAAAATTCAGGCATGATAAGAGAGGGGTTGAAAATATAAGTAAGCGGTGGTGGAGAAGTCGTCAGTTGGTTGTGTCTTAATAGACCAATAAGGGAGAGATGATGGTTGTACGAACTTCTTTTGAATGCACAGATTAGGTTTACTAGTTCGAATGCCTATCGCCTCAGTTATGTGCAGTAGACGAATATGGAGTCTACTGGAAAGATTCGGTGGGATACGATGAATTAAGATTAGTCAGCTTACATGAAAAGATTAGCTATCTTTGGTCATAGGTGTCTGCGTTCTATCTCCCGTGTGAAGTGGTATAATAAGGTGAGCAATATTGAGGTTAGGAGACGCGTGCTAGGTAAGGAGGGGAAATCAATTGACGAGGCTGTCAAGCTACATCGACTGAGATGGTTAGGACATGTGTTACGTATGCCTAGTCATCGCCTTCCTCGACTGACGGGCAATGTTAGCTGATATAGGGTTAGGCTGGAAAAGAGCTAGCGGCAGTCAAACGAAAACATGGCACCAGTCAATGAAATCCACAACAGTTAGTCTAAGCCACGTAGGAAGGTGTAGACTTCCTGAATGGTTGGGGTCCTCGGGACGGTAAAAACCAATGGTTGGAAACAATTGGTGACATCGCTCAAAATCGTTCTCAATGGATAGCGCAGATGCATCCACTCCTTGTAACTTATGATTTCCAATGAAACTGTTTTGTTCTTCGTTATTACTATACCTTTGTCTCACACCTCTGTTTACTGTCTATATTATACATTTCTCCTACTTTCTTCTCTTGCTTTGTGTGCTACATGGAGTGTGGCGACTTGAACTGCCTCACATATGTGCAAAGTTCTATGTCGAAAACAGACAGCTTACAATAGATAACTTTAAATGCCTTATTAACACCAGTTTAATGCTAAGTAATCTACATGCTGACCTAAAATGTAGCTATGAATGAACCTTACTTGTCTCTACTTTAACCATGCAGGATTACCTTCAGATAACTGGTGACGAACATCCCTGATTGTATGCCCATTATAACTAAATTCGCGGCAGCAGTCAAACTGGTAGATACACACACACACACAGGAGGAAGAGAAATTAGGTAGTTTATGCATACGTAATAATTGTAGAACGTGATGAGAAATCTGTGGAAAAGCGTATTTTCTATACTCAGTCATTTTGTATTCTGAGTGCATAAATATTAACTTTTAAACAGTGATCATATGGTGTTGTTCAAGTGTTCAATGGGATGAGTCACCGTTACGTTACCTCATATTTGATATTATTATTGTTATTACTATTATTCCCTTGCGTTCCGAGTGGAACATAGAACTTCAACAACATATCTCCACCTTGTTCTCCTTTCTGCCGTCCTCTTCAACCGGTTCCACGAGTGACCGAACTCTCTCATCCCTTCTTCACATGATCTCCTCCGTATCACCCTAGCACTAACGATCCAGTTGTTGCTTCCCATAACTCATATCTATTATTGTTCCCTTGGGTTCCTAGTGGAACATAGGGCTTCAACTGCACGTCTTCACTTGCTTCTGTCTTCTGCTGTACTTTTCACCTGCATCCATGTTAGTCCATACTGTTTCAACTCCTCTTCACCCTCGGACGTCCCACTCGCCGATTCCCTTTTGGGTTCCACTCGAGCACTGGCCTGACGTGCGATGTCACCCAGCGGCCTCCTCAGCGAGTGTCCAATCCATCTCCGCTTTCGCCTGCATATTTGTTGAGTGATTGGTTCATGTTTTGTTTGTTCCCATAGTTTCTTGTTGGTGATTCTTTCCGGTGGCCATCTGATCTTGAGTATGGAGCGAAGACAGCTGTTGATAAAGGTGTGCAACAGGCTGTTGGAAATATTCTTTGTGACCCGCCCAATTTCTGCTGATCCGTATAGAAGAACTGACTGACTTGACGTTTGTATTGAAAATCCGAATTTTGTTGTTGATGCTGAGTTGAGTGACGAAGATTTCCAGATTGGTTTCAGGTTGATGAATGTGTTTCTCGCCTTCCCGATTCCCGATTTGACATATGTGTCCGTTCCACCTGCCTGTAGTTGAGACAATGCTC